TTTGCCATGTTTCAGATTTATGTGTATTAGATATATGGTGGCAGTAGATCATTGCAGTGTGCTGATGTGTCTGATCACAGAACGTTCCAGTGCAACAGTGTCCAGATGACCTGTTAACAGACGGCTGCTGGTCCAAAACCCAGAAGACTTTGGTTAATCGTTGAAACAGAAATTGAACCTGTTTGTCATGCACTGTAAAAATTATTTTAAGTTTAAAGATTACAGGAGCATGTTGTACTAGAAAATACTATCCTATAGAAATTTTGTGAAAATTGTTTCTACACCAAATTATTTTTTCAGTGTCTAAAGTGATTGAATATCTTCACAAGACTTGGATTGAACCGCTCAATTCATATGGACTCATTTTAATGGTGCCTTTATGAACTTTTTGGATCTTCTAAGTTTGGTTACCTTGACTTTCAGTGGAGGGACAGAAACTTCTCAGGTTTTATTAAAAAACAAATCTTAATTTGTGTTTTGAAGATTAACCAAAGGGGTTTGGAACAACATGAGAGTGAATAAAATGACAGAATTTTCACTTTTGCAAGAACTATACCTTTAATTCATATCGGTTGTCATTCTGTGGTCAAATATTTTTGTATAATGACCCCTAAACCATATAAACGGATAGCTTTTATAAATTTATGTCTCTCATAATACTCTGTGGCTGATTTCTTTTGATATTACTTAATAGTTGAACAAATAAGCACTCGAGAAGGGCTGATGTCAAACAAGACACCGCTCTACATGTATGTGTGTCATAGATGTCTATTCTCAGCTGGTGTGTATATTAACTCTACTATAAAAAGCAGCAGATGTCAGCCACACACACTTGCATATGTTGGTTGCAAAGTTAGTGTGGTGCCACCCAGACAATCAGGTAATTTAAACAGCTTTGCCTACAAATAAAAGGCCACTTTCTCTCTCACACACACTCATTTGAACGCCGGGAGTGTGACGGAGGGGCAAAGGGAGGTACTGGGATCAGAAAGGCTCTGCAGCTGTGGGTCTACGTGAGTTCTGGCAGGGACACACTCTCCCTCTTTCTCTATCGCTCTCTGCTTGCACCCTCCCTCCCTGGCACTCTCTATCGCTCTCTCCTTCCACCCTCCCTCCCTGGCATCTATTCCTTTATTCTTCTCTTCATTTTTCTGTTTCTCCCCTCTTTCTCTGTCTAACACCTCCCCCGATCCCCCATGAGACCTTGACAATGAGAGATGTTTCACTTTTAGCTCGATATCTTGAGACATGTGAAAGACAAGCAGAGGCATGGGAACCAAACGGAAAGAGCAGAATTTAATTTAGCACAAAATGACTCAGTAGATACAAAAGAGTGATTAAATCTACAAATTTTGCCACAAAAGGCCAGAATTGCCTCATTTGGGAGACATTTGTAATATAGGACGATAATATGTAAAAGAATAACGTAATAAAGCTCATGGCATGCTCCTGTTCATAATGCGTCCAGTCAGACTGACAAACGTTTAGTCTTAGTGAATATGTATGTATGTGTGTGTGTGTGTGTGTGTGTGTGTGTGTGTGTGTGTGTGTGTGTGTGTGTGTGACGTGAGTTCTGGCAGGGACACACTCTCCCTCTCTCTCTATCGCTCTCTCCTTCCACCCTCCCTCCCTGGCATCTATTCCTTTATTCTTCTCTTCATTTTTCTGTTTCTCCCCTCTTTCTCTGTCTAACACCTCCCCCGATCCCCCATGAGACCTTGACAATGAGAGATGTTTCACTTTTAGCTCGATATCTTGAGACATGTGAAAGACAAGCAGAGGCATGGGAACCAAACGGAAAGAGCAGAATTTCATTTAGCACAAAATGACTCAGTAGATACAAAACAGTGATTAAATCTACAAATTTTGCCACAAAAGGCCAGAATTGCCTCATTTGGGAGACATTTGTAATATAGGACGATAATATGTAAAAGAATAATGTAATAAAGCTGATGGCATGCTCCTGTTCATAATGCGTCCAGTCAGACTGACAAACGTTTAGTCTTAGTGAATATGTATGTATGTATGTGTGTGTGTGTGTGTGTGTGTCTGGAAATCAGCTTTTTTTCAGCCGGATACACAATGGCCATGAACCGGCCCCATCTATTCCACGTTCCACCTGCTAGACATACATCACCAAGACCATCTGCAGCAATTCTGCAACCTGCTTCCTCAGCTGGAAACAATAACACAGTGGACTTGTTTCCTCGACCCATGTGACCTACAAGCTAAATATTAAGTTCCAGCCAAGGTCAGTTGAAAAGACTCAAAGCAGGGAGCAGAGAGAGAAGGAATGAGAAAGTAAAGCCAAGAAGAGGGCAAGGAGGGCATGCAAATTGCAACAATGCATCTGATAAAAATGATTCCAGTACATTGTGGAGTGTTTTAGTAGTTAGGTCACTAGTATATATCGTGACTTACTTTGTTTGAGTGCAAATTTGGTCTGTACTGCCACTTTGTGGTCGTAGGTGGAATAATCTGTTAGAAATTAGCTGTTCTTGACTCAATTGTGAAATGTTGTTTTTAAATGTACATTTACTTTGCAGATGATTTTATAGTCTTACGCGTTTATATAAAATAAAATTTGACAATTTCACAATTAAAATGTTTACCATTTTACATTTTGTCAGGGTTTTATATTTCAAATCGAAAATATGTGCTAGTTGTGTAAAAATATGTGCATGAGCTTATGAGTGAAATATATATATATAGATAGATAGATAGATAGATAGATAGATAGATAGATAGATAGATAGATAGATAGATAGATAGATATATGCAGTTGTAAAGTCAAAGCCTACTACTTTTTACAGGATTGTGGAAAACATTTCCTTTATTGCAACAGTTGTTTATTGGTTATTTTGAGTCATTTTGTAAATATTGTCAATTTTTTAGTTAATAGTATTAATACATTCCTAATTCATAATTCGTACTTTAAAAGCACAAAGTGTAACAACAACAATAATATTAAATTATTATTTAAAATATTATTATATAATAATAACAACAATAATGTTAACAAAAATAATGTTAATGTTGTCGTTGTTATACATTTTTCACGAATTATGCACGAATTACTGCACTGGCTGCATCACGTGATGTGTCTACCTACTGCGTCTGCCAGCCGGTATACGCATCACGTGATGTGATGGACGCGTTTGTTATCGTGACTCGCGCACACCTGTACATCTTGGACTGGCGGTACAAGCGTTACTCTAAACAAGTATAAGGACTCCAAAGCTGGGTAAGGATTTGAAAAACAAATATTTGTTTTAATGTGATGTCAACAGATTATTTGAACTGCGGAAATTAATTGGGGTCCTAAATGTCAATTTAATGATGTCAATCATAACTCGAGGATATGTAATATCTGTTTTAATGTGACGTTAACAGATTATTTGAACTGCAGAAATTAATTGGGATCCTAAATGCCAATCTAATGATGTCAATCATAACTCCAGGATATGTAAACACTTGCGTTCTGCACAATGTTTCAGAATTGTTTTATGAGTTTTGTGCTTTTTGTTTGCTTCCAGGAACAGAACACTCTTAACAAGCGTATGGACTCCATAGGTAAGGGACCAAATATTTGTTTTAAAGGGGTCATATGATGTTGCTAAAAAAAAAGAACATTATTTTGTGTATTTGGTGTAATGAAATGCCTGCCGGAGCTAAGAGACAAAAACATTAAAACCCATTATAAACAAGGCATTTGTTGCATCCAGTGGGGACATAATTACGGATTATAATGATTTATATGGTATTTTTACGCGATGCAGCCGTGTAAACATAAAACCATGTCTGCATTTGTGATCGGAGAAATGACAAACAACAAGCGCTACTC